TTGCTCCTCCTCCTCCTCCTCCTCCTCCTCCTCCTCCTCCATTCTTCTTCTTCTTCTCTTCTAGAGGAGAACAAACTAAATTGCCCCTTAAGTACAACTCACCGTTTTTGCTGCTCCCTTATTGAGAGTGGAGTGGTGTTGTGGAAGAAAGACAGATGATAGCCCTGGTCCAGGCCACTGTGGAAAGAACAAGATAATCTGTCCTCACATCGTTTTCAATTAACCTCTTCACTGCAGTCTTCATACTCTATACTCCCTGACTCCTTCTTACTGCTGTCTAAGTGCGCAGACACAGTGGAAGCAGCTGCAGCGATGCACTTTAAAGTTACTCGACGCGTCTGTTCCGACTTCTTTTCTAACAAAAACAGTGGCTGCGTCTTTCGGTTCAGTCGGTTCATTCGGCCACGTGTCAGTCAATGAGGATGGCTAAAGAGGTTCTTCAATTGCTGATGCTTTCAAGGCTCTATAACTGTAACAGGAGACGATCCTACCGTAGATATTGGGTACATGGAATCGATAAAAAAGAGAGACATAGATGGTGAATACCATCACCTGATGGCAGAAATCCTTTCGGACGAAGAAAAATGCCTGAAATATACCCGGATGAGACCCTCAACATATCAGCTCTTGTTGGACAAAAATTGGACCCTACATAGAGAAGCGAACTACCAATTTCCGGAAACCCCTGTCAGCAAAAGAGCGTTTGAATTTGGAAAAAGACTGCTTGCTGACAAGCTGGATTTACCACAGGATACAGACAGTGACACAACACTCCCATTTGCATTCGTAGCAGATGATGCATTTCCATTGAGAGGAAATTTGATAAAGCCATTTCCAAACAGACAATTAACTTATGAGAAAGAGCTTTTCAATACTCGCCTATCACGTGCGAGGAATTCAGTTGAATGCTCTTTTGGTAGGATTCCGCAAATGTGGTGTATACTCCTGCGCCAAATGGATGAACAGCCAGAGTCGGCAACAGATGCAGTCAAGGCCATCACAGTGCTCCACAATTTCATTATCATGCAAGAACCTGGAATATTGGTGCTACAGCACATTGAAGATGACGTGGTTGAGCCACGAGCAGGCCTACCAACGTTCGACAGACTAGAAGTTATAAGGAGCAGAGCTACCAAAAGTGGAATGGAAGTGAGAAATACTTTCATGGGATATTTCTCGTCACCGCAGGGGGCATTGCCATGGCAAAACAGCAAATGCTATAACGTCTGATCAGTCCACACTCTCATTTAAAAAGGGTTATCATTGCATCTCTTTTAATAAGCTAAAGTAGGCCTATATTTTGAAACAAGTACACATGTTGTACAGTGTACATACGTTCAGACAAACAGACGGATAGACAGACAGACAGACAGACAGACAGACAGACAGAAAGAAAGAAAGTTCTTACCATTGCATCCAACTTCGTTGGCTACTTTCTTCCTTTCGGCCGATATCATGGCCCTGTTGCAGTAGTTTTGATCTGCTTTGTCATAAAGACATCTTCTTTTTTCAACTAGGTGTATTAATGCCTCCGACTCCATTGTAGTCAAAATGCGTCAATTCACTATGACTACACCTTACATGCACTACACAATCACGCCACAACAGTTTAGCCGCGCAGCAGACGCTCGAAATTTTATTTCAGCAGCAAGTGCACGCGGGGAACTTTTTCTGCTCTGTCCAGCGCTGCATCTGCTCCGCGCTCACTGTAGCGCCGTGCATTCAATCCTTCGTTAATAAAATTTGGCGATGCAACTTTTTCGGAGAAAGACGTCGTAACCGAAAAAGAAGCGTCGGAGAAGCGTGCACTATGTTTGGGGCCTAACGGTAGGTAAGATCTGTACCTATCCTTCTCGGATAAGGGCAATAATTCTGGGAGCTCCCGTGTGCAAGTAGAGCACATTACAGATCCCTTGATGGTCCAAAATTGGTAAGAGTAAGCTTCGGCGCCACTCCGGCAAAATTCAAAATTTCCTGCCAACTGAAAATGTTTAATTTGTCCCGCGTGCCCAGATGGCGGTATGCTATTGCGAGCACCGTAATACACTTACCAAAAAAACAAACCAAAACCAAAACACGAAGAATACTCTCTGGTGTTCTCCTAAACTGGTCACCGACATTCTTCTTCTGGTTTATAAAGGATGTTTTCAAAGACGCATTTATAATGATTTTAATGATAATCTGTTTTGAATTATTATTAAAATCTTATCTTGTCTGCAAAACCATAAATACGAACGCCTCAGCACACCCTTTCAGCACTCACCACTGATACGTCGGCCTCGAGTCTGTTACCGACGTCTTTGGTGTAGCGGTTAGGAACTTTGCCTTCGCACACCGGAGAACCTGAGTTCGATTCTCGTTAGAGGAGAATTCTCTATCGAGTATCTCGGTCTCTCTGCCTGAACGTTGTATCCTCTTTCAACCCGAGCCGGCCTCGACAGGCCCCCTGCAGCTTCCCTCATAAATGATCTAATTTGTGTCAGTTGGGGCATAAGAAACTCACATTTATAAAGGAGTCTGGAGCTCTTTTCGTATGATGGTTCATAAGTCACACACTCATAAAGTTAACATTGTGTATACCAATAGGTCTTAACAATATCGAGGGAAAGAAAGCATCACAGCCTCTAGTGTGTAGTTACTTACGGTAGAGGGTTGGTGACTTAATGTAAAGGATGTTCTTAATATTAGTAAGAGTTTTACGGCTCTTGCAACTCGAATATGTCATAAAAATGAAACCAGAGAGTATCATTCAAAGAAAAGAAGTAGGGCAGATAAGGACGATCGAAATTTGATATAAAAGAAGAAGCAAACCACACAAGAACATCCACCAGCCACCAACCCTTTAGGGGATATTGACTTAAGTTTAAAAAATGAAAGACTTACTGAAGAGGATTCATGACTTATGGTAGAAGAAGATTGCGTATTGTAGAGTATTGGTGACTTTCTGTAAAAGTATTTGTGGTAGAGGACAGTTGACTTATGATACAGGATTGATGACTTACTGTGGAGGATTGACGACTCCTGGTAGATGATTGATGTCTCATGGTACAGGACTGATGACTTTCTGTTAGGGATTGATGGCTTATGGAACTGGATTCATGACTTATGTTACATGATTAATGATTTACAGAAGAGGATCGATGGCTTATGGGAAAGGATTGACGACTTTAGATAGAAGACTGATGACTCACGGCAGTAGATTGGTGACTTACTGTAAAGGACTGAACGTTCCACTCTCTGGATCCCAGATATACTTAACCTTCTTACAGGTAAAATACTTGAGGATTGTAGAATCGGTCTGTGGAAATCAGAGATGAAAAGAGTGAGCGATGGAGAGAGAGAAAGAGAGAGAGAGAGAGAGAGAGAGAGAGAGAGAGGGGGGGGAGGAGGGAGGGACAGGGAGAGAGAGCAAGAGAGGGAGAGAGGGAGAGAGTGAGAGTGAGAGTGAGAGCGAGAGCAAGAGATAGAGAGAGAGAGGGGGGGGGTGAAAAAAGGGGAGAGAAAAAAAAAGAGAAAAGAATACAAGTTGTTTTTAACAAATTACCAAATTTTACAGAGGAATTCAGTGAAGATGACGTAATGATTCATGAAAAAAGCATAGTATAACTAACAAGTAAATAATATCATAGTTACTATATCATAGTTCAAATCGGAGAATTGATGGCGTTATAACCATTACAGTCAGGACACTTTTCTCGATTTTCGTCTGGCAAAGTCGCTGATGATGTCATTTAGGTTCTATTCACGCTGTCTATCTGACTCGATGCTACGATATTGGTGGTAGGTCCCCTCTTGGTGGGTGGCCCTGGACTCCAGCCCCTTGAGCCCTTCCCTTAATCTGCCCCAGGCATGCAGACAAGAGATAGAACACGACAGAGACAGAGAAGGAATGTTTTTTTAAAGGTTCTCCCAGAGACATCTTTTAACTATACGTTACATCAGAATTACTCATTCCCTTCAATGTTTGTTAGTTTTGTAAGCGTTTTACTTGGGGAATGGCCACACAACTGGTTTATACGGGGCCAAAGATTAGAAGTGTTACACAAGAGTAACAAATACCCCCCCCCCCAAAAAAAAATGAGGAGAGAGATAAGGATGATGACTGTTTGATAGGAAAGAAGAAAAAAAAACAACATATCAAAGCACCCACCAGCCACCCACTCCCTTGACGTAAAAATAGCTATGAAACAAATACTATAAGCAGCCACTAGTTGGGCGTCCCTACAAAGCGTGGAACCTGGCGGTTGGAACCCTTTCCATACCTCTGGATGGCTGTAAACATGAGGTACTTTCTTGAACATGCTTGACTTCGGCTTGACTATCTTCACTCTGTAGAGAAAACCAGATAAACGGAGGGGATTGACAGTTGGTTCAACTGTTTTACTAAGATGTGCTGTAAACGACATATTTCTAATTAACAGAAAAACAGACAGAAATAGAAATTCGTTCAGATCAACTGCGTGAGGTTATTAAACACAGTGCAACAAATAAAACAGAGAGGGGGGGG